TTGTTTATTTGCTTTATAATAACCACAGAGGCTCCTGTCCCAAAGCTCTGTGCATCTGACTTAATTTAATTTCACAATAAAATTTCATATAACATGGATTTACCAAGGTGAAAAGGAAATACGCAACAGTAGAAGAAATTACCCCTACAACAAACAACAAAATTTTCCCAATTCTCCTCATCTTCAAATACCTGGGAGAAAAGTTGGGCCTTGCAGTGCACCCTGTGGGTTAACAGATTGGACTCTGGTGTGCAGGTGGGAAGAGACAGTGAATTCCAAATCTGAAGAAAAGCCCCTTCACAGAAAGCCCTATGCCAACAGTGTCTTTCCATTTATAAAAAAGGAAGCTGCAGCATGAGTACCTCCTCTAATCTCAGTTGGAGCAGTATAGTATGGAGAGAGAGGTGGTCTCTCATGGTTTTACAGGTTAAAACAACACTTTGAATTCCCCCTGGAAATGTATTAGCATCCAGTACTGCCAATGTCAATGCTAGAGAGACAGGATGGGTGAGGTAATATATTTTATCGGACCAACTTCTGTTGGTAAGAGAGACAAGCTTTTGAGCCACACAGAGCTCTTCCTCAGGTCTGGGAAACGTACTCCTAAAATGCAAGGGGAAACGGAAAAGTAGTTAGCACATATTGTAAAGGACCATTCAAGTTAGAGTGGTCCGTGGCTTGAAAGCTTGTCTCTCTCACCAACAGAAGTTTGTTCAACAAAAGATATTACCTCACCCACCTTGTCTCTCTATTAACCTAGGACCAACATGGCTACAACTACACTACAATGTCAATGCTAAATGCTTAAGTATTTTTTTTACCTGCTGTCATAATAATTACAGTTATATGATGTACTATAAATCAGGTGGTTGTATTACTATTGTATTTACACATTAGCTGTTTTTTTTGTACACCCTGTTTTACACTTGTTGAGTAGAACTGTTCCTCTTTATTAAACAATCTAATGTTAATTCTTTGAAAAAGAAAAAAGAAAGAAAAGGAGGCAGCTCGTGTATTACTTTCTACTTGTATTTTTTTTCTTTTACCATCAGGCAGTTTATAATTGGAGATATATATTTATTTCTTGTTATATCTGTCAAGAAAACTACTCTGTTGAAGGTCTGGGCCATCAGGATAACATGGTGCCGTTGCAGGAAATATGCTATAGCTGGGGAGTTTAATTTTATCCAAATGAGGGGATATAATGTCAACTTGCCAGAGCCCAAGGACTGTACCTACCTTGTATAAAATAAAGTGGATTGCAGCTAACCTCTTCTTGCATACAAAGATTCAACGTTCAGAGATTACAGATCACAGCATAATGCTCAAAGTTGAAAAATGGTGGCTGGAACTTGTATTTGCTGTATTTGGCTAGAACTTGTATTTGCTGGCACTGCTGTGTTAAATAGTGCCTTGGCTATCTTGGCAATTTTCAGGAAATCTCCCATCAGTGGTAGCAACAGCGTAGACCAGCTGCAGTTGTTCTTACTACCGTGGGATCTAGACCAGGTTTAGGTGGAAAAAGTGGACAAAGTGGAAAAAATGCTTGCAGTTGGTCCACTGGAGCTGCACTGGTGCTATTGCTATAGTGGGAAACTTCCTGAAAATTGCCTAAGAGGGTGACTGAACCACACTACAGAATTTCATAGACCACATTTGGCCATCCACATGTAATAGCACATTTGGCCACTCATATGCTATAGACCCTGTCTATACCCTGCATTCCTCAGAGCAAGTGTCTTCTTTTTCCCTTAGTGAAGGAACAAAAGAAAAACACAAACCAAAAATTGCATTATAGATTATGAACTTGTTGATGTTAAAGAAAGGGACAAGCAAACAGTAAGGCAGCAATGTTGACATTTAAATCAACAAAATTGACAGCTAGGTTATTTACCCTTCTACAGCAGTCCTCTTTTCAATTTATGTGTGTGTCACAGGGCAACAGTTCTTTCTGGAGACAAATGGCCTACAACTGTATGAGAAGAAATTTCAGAAGTAATACATCTCTCTATGGGTATGAGATTCTGTGGATGTTGAGATAGACAGTTGGCAGGAGAAAGAAGAGAGGAGTTGGAGCTGCTCCCTTTATACTCTCCTTTGACTTGTCTAATCCAGGGAAATGTTATAAAAAATTCTGACGATTGTTAACAGTATTGGTAGCCCTACTGTAGATAAGGCTGCTACGGCCAGAGCTGCTTTTAGTTTTGGGCTGATTAAACCTTCTCAAACCTATGGTATTAAAAATGCTGGCAGCTGCACTGGTGCTAGCAATGCTAGGAAGTGTTTAGAAAATGTGGATGAAAGGAACTCAGGTAGCCTTAGGGAAGCAGGTGAGATTGAGAACCTCTCCTACTTCCTAAATAAAATAAGCCTTCATGAGGCAGCACAGGGTGAAGCACGGAGCTGCTATTTCTGGAGAGGAAAACCAGCCTCTGAAGATAGGATATAATTTCCTTGGGGAGTTGGAGAAGATTGTTATGATTCTTGAACTCTTTGAGCTGGTGTAGGCCTAGGGGAAACTTGGGGAGCAAATTTGTAGGCAGGAATCCTGTAGGAATAAATAGTGTGTGATCTTGTAATAGAGATTGTATGAGAATTCATATGAAAAAGGGTGCTGAATTAAGGTTTCACAGGCAACCTTAATTCTGGCATTTCCTATCTTGACTTGCAACCTTAATAATGTTCTTTTAACATAGTTTTTTTGTGTGTAATTTAAATTTCTTATTTCTTTGCTGGACAATAGGAAGGATCAGTGCTAGAAAAGACCCTGCTTTCTCTCTCTCTCTCTCTCTCTCTCACTCACACACACCCTGCCAGTCCAAGCACTAGCTCCATTCCCTGTTCACAGCCTAGGATGCTGCCTGCAACTAATTTTCTCTTTGGTTTCACCTTCTACAGACCATGTAACCCACATGGTAGTTTTCCCAAAACCTTTTTTTTTGGATGTATGTGTGACAAAGTCAGACTTGTCAGCTATAAGAGAGGGATGGAAGGCAGGTATATTGGTCCTAGAATTGTGAAGACCCTTTTTCTTATTAACTGAGAAGAGGGGGCCTCAGGTTAATTGGAGACACCTGAGTACAACTGATGGTCTTTAAAAGCCTATCTTCTTGTGAGGTGGGAGGGAGGAGAGATGAGAAACAAGTGGCAGAAAAGGCTCCTTCTAGGTAGATGGATGTTCCCCTCCTTACAGGGGAAATACTGAGTTTCCTTCTCTTTGGGGAAGGGCTGGTGACCAGAAGCCAGCATAAGTCAATGCTCTGTTGGGGGCAAGGAAATGTATAACTTTTGTGTTGTGGGTTTGTTTGCTCAAGAGAACTATGTGGGCCTATTCTGAGGCCCACCTTGTAAATAAACCAAAATTAAGAATTAAAAACCTTTAGACTGATTTACTCCACACCCCCATCCCCCCACCAGAGGGAGAAATGTTGAGTCTGGTGTCAGGCTACAGAGGTGAGAAGGGTAATAGGCTGTGAGGAGATGACCTAGTACCTATGTAGATGGAGGTGGGAAACAAGCTGGAGGGGACCTCGTATAGGATACTTCATGTAAGGACTTGCCGATCTATATGCTTGCAACCTCTTCCATCTCCTGATGTAATGCCTTTTCTCCATGCTCCTCCTTCAAGTAACCCTCTTAAATCCATTATTCTATAAAGATAGGTCCTCACCTCCAAGAAGCAGTAACAAACTAGGCAGAAGGAAAACAAACAAGCTAAACAAAATCATTACTCTAGTGCATCTATTCTCTCATCTGTTTATTTAGACTGAAAGCTCTCCAAGGGAGGGACCTTTAGGCTTTTATCTATAGCATATTTTTCTGTATCTGAACACAGTGGTCAGCAATTGTGTTAATTGAACTAGGGCTGAAGGTGATTTTGCTGTGGGTATACAAAACCAAAATGTGTTCCAACATTATTTTTTCTACAGGTTTAATCCCAGTGAGCTAAAAGAGTATTGAACACAGATTGTCCTTGTCTACACATTAGGGTGACCAGATGTCCCGATTTTATAGGGACCATCCAGATTTTTCACACTTGCTGTCTGGTCACCCTACTACACATACCACTAAACCAGTGCATAATTTGTAAGAGGTGCCAGGGCTCAAGCAATTTTTTTTAACTTTCATAATTGATGCAGAAAGTCCAGAGGTACCTGGGCTATAAACTACCAAGCCTAGAATTGCCAGGGCTCAGCCCTGGCACAAATTAAGCACTCTTCTAAACTCTAAAGCTTAAACACAGCACTGTGTTCAACCCTAGTTCAGTTAACACACCTGCAGACAGCCATGTGCGGACATTAGTACAGACAAGGCCATGGGAGTGGGTGACTGGAAGTCTCTTTCCTAAATGAAAAGGAGTACTTGTGGCACCTTAGAGACTAACCAATTTATTTGAACATAAGCTTTCATGAGCTACAGCTTATGCTCAAATAAATTGGTTAGTCTCTAAGGTGCCATAAGTACTCCTTTTCTTTTTGCGAATACAGACTAACACGGCTGTTACTCTGAAATCTTTCCTGATTACGACTGCAGAAGCCACTGTTCTGCTAAGGCTCCTATAGCACTTTGCCAGCCTGTATCCCCCAGTATCTCTCTTCTTTCTCCTTTGAGGCTAGACTGGGCCCCTCACTCCAGTGGGTACGTTCCCCAAGGCATTAAACTCAATGCAGTTTCAGACTGGAGAATAGGAAGGAAGGGGAGAAAAGGCGGAGCCAATTCTCATGACAGACATAGGACTCAGCCAATAGATTTGTAGAGGGTGGCCGTCGGCGCTGATGGTGGTCTCTGAGAGGTAGGGGCTTGCGTGAGGGGGCGGGATTAATGGGGCGTGGCAAGCGTGGTCTGGGGTGAAGGACGGATGCTTGGCCGTGTGGAGGCGGGGCCTGAGGAGGAATGGGCGGGGCTAGGAAACGGGACGGGTCGGGGGGGGTTGGGTGGAGCGAGAGGCCCTGATTGAGGAGGAGGGGGAGGCGTGACCAGGGGTGGGCGGGGCCGCGCGGGGATTGGCCGGGGCGGGGTTTCGCTGGGGTTATGCTGACGGCTCCGGTCAGGGAATTTCAATTTCGGATGTGGCGGAGCTGAAGGCGGCGGCAGGTAATAGCGCGCGCGCGCGCGCGGGGGTCTGTTCACCCTCCCCTCCGAGAGCTCCCGCTCGGGGCGGCGGGCGCGAGCTGGGCGCAGGAGTGACAGGGGCAGGTGCCGCGGGGCCCCGCCCTTGGGTGGGCTACCTGGTCCCTGGGCGGCCGGGGTCCCCGCGGCTCGCTGGTGTCCTTGCGCCCGGCGCGGGCTGGAGGGTCTGGGAGGACGCTGCCCCTGCAGGCCCGAGCTGGGTCGGCGCGGCCGTCAAAGCCCAGCGGCCCCTGCCCGCCTGTGGCGGCAGCGGCGGGGGGGGGCGGCTCTTCCCAGGGCGCTTGTCCGCCCCGCCAGGGCGCGGGGAAATCCGCTGGAGGGGGCGACGCTGTGGGCGGCGCTGCGCGATGCGCCCGGCCTGCTCGCACGGAAACCCCCCGGCCCTGGGGGGGGCTCGCCGCTCACGAAGTAGGGCGGCTGGCGTTAGCGTCCCTCCCTCCCACCGTCCCAGGGGGGCTGCTGCCGTGGCTCGGTGAGACACGCACCATCCTCCTGTCCTTTAAATCTCCCTCGTGTAGATTCCCGCGGGCTGGGAGTCCCACGCACAGCAGAGACGCTTTACTCTGCCCCCCTTAGTCAAAAGCAGAAGAGCTGAAAGCCTGGAAACTGACCCCCTTATTGCTCTTCGTCTGCATGGGGTGGTGACGACTTCCGTATTTAAGCCTAGGGGCCTTTCTCGACCTGTGAGCGTGTAGAGTATCGCCTGTGTTTGCAAACCTTGGTTTTTGTAGTTATAACAGCAAAACTGATTGAGAGACACTAGTTGCTTATTAGAAATCTCTGGCTGAGGTTTGCTATCCTATTCTAATTTCAGTACTTGTACATCTATCTGCACTGGTGGGTCTCAAACTTCCTGGTCTGATTTTTTTTGGGAGGAAAACCAGATAATCCCAAACTAATGCAAACTGCCCTGAATCACTATGAAATTTTGCAAAAAGAAGAGGAGGACTTGTGGCACCTTAGAGACTAACCAATTTATTTGAGCATAAACTTTCCTGAGCTTATGCTCAAATCTGTTAGTCTCTAAGGTGCCACAAGTCCTCCTCTTCTTTTTGCAGATACAGACTAACAGGGCTGCTGCTCTGAAACCTATGAAATTTTGGTAGTCTGTATCCTTGGCATGAATAATGTGGGACAGCAAAGTGGGAAGCAGGGAGATACTTTTGGACCACCACTCTTTCCATTTCAGCTGCTTCTTTCCACCCACTCCTTTTAACTCTTTTCTTTCTTTCAGGTTTGCAGGTAGAGAACTGTGACCCTCCACTGAAGCTGTGTGCCTCTGGTGCCTGCTGAGAATGCAACTGACTAGGATTGTACAGTCCTTATCAGTTTCATGCTCTAGAGGCAAAACAATTCAATGCAGAGATCAGTGCCTCTCTTTGTCTACATGTCCTGAATATTTGACAAACAAAAGTTTGGTAAATAAAAGGTAGTCCATTAGTCAAGGTGTGCTAGCCAGGTCTTGTCAGGTGGGAGCCAACTGGGGTTGATTTAGTGGCTCCCAGCTCCTTACCTGCTGGGTCTGGGTGTAACCCTCTTACTTCTGAGAAGCATGAACTTCCTTTGGTGAAGCAGGAGGTAATCCCAGAAATGGACATAACTCTCAATAATAAAGCAGTACTTTTATCTAAGCAGGGCAAACCTTCAGTCTGTATGATGGTTAATAGCAGGAGGAGACCCCTATGGGAAGTTAAACATACACATTCCCCAGCAATAATACAGTGTCTCCTGTCCAATGCGTAAATATACAGATCAGTGCTCTCTGACCTGATTAAGCATTCCGTGATTCCTTGTCTGACTTCTGTCTCCAAGTTTTTGCTGCAGTCATTGATGCGAGTGTGTGCTGTGAGCTCATTTACGTCTGGACGCTCTGTTGCTGGGTTGGTCTGGACCTTCTGCCTCAGTCCAGCTGTTCTTGGGATCAAGCTCCTTCATTAAAGCTCCCAACTCAACTAAGCTGCTCTCTTTTTGCACCAAAACCTCTTAAAATGTTCTCACAGTGGTAGCATATTTTTTTAGCCTGTGTCCTTCGGATCAGCTGATTGGCTCAAGGTCATTCCTCTCTCGGGCTTGGTGATACTAACAGTCCATCCCCCAATTCAATATATAACAAATAGAAGAAAGGAAAAATTGATAGTAATATGAATTGGAAGCTAGGCATTGTAGGAAATTGATAAGGGAAACGAAGGTGAAAGCTATGGCCAGCAGAGTTAAGTTTAGTAAGGAGTTTCCTAAAGTATATTAGGAGCAAAAAAATCTTAACAATGGTATTGGTTCCATTACTAGAAGAAAGTGATAAAATTATGAACAATAATGAAGAAAAGGTAGAAGTGTTCAATAAGTATTTCTGTTCTATATTTGGAAAAAAGCCAGATATTGTAGTCATATCGTATGATAATAATGAACACTTTACGTTCCAATAGTAACTGAGGAAGATGTTAAATCACGGTTACTAAAGTTAGACATTCTTAAATCAGCAGGTCCAGATAACTTACATCCAAGAGTTTTAAAAAAGCTGGCCGAGGAGCTTGCTGGACTCTTAATGTTGATTTTCAATGAGTCTTGGCACACTCTGAAAGTTCTAGAATACTGGATGAAAGCTAATGTTCTCCTAATATTTAAAAAGGTTAAACAGGATGACCTGCCTAATTAAAGGTCTGTCAGTTTGACATTGACCCCAGGCAAGATAATGAAGCAGCTGATAAGGGACTTCATTAATCCAAGAATTAAAGGAGTGTTATATGATTAATGCAAAGAACCATGGGTTTATGGATAATAGAGCCTGTCAAACTAACATGATATATATTTTTAATTTAATTTCATTTTTTTTATTTGGATGAGATTACAAGTTTGGTTGATAAAGGCAATAGTGTTGATATAATATGCTTAGACTTCTGTATGGTGTTTGACTTGGTACCAGATGAGATTTTTGATTTTAAAAAAAAACTAGAATGATATACAGCTAACATTGCATACAGTAAATGGTTTAAAAACTGGGTAACTGATAGGTCTCAAAATGTAATTGTAAAAGAGGAATTGTCATTGAGCAAGTATGTTTCTAGTTGGGCCCTGCTGGGATAGGCTCTTGACCCTATGCTATTTATGTGTGTTCTTCCAGATCATTGACAAAAATGTTAATCATCACTGATAAAGTTTGCAGATGACCAGAGGATGATAAACAATGTAGGGGACAGGTTACAGACATGGTGTGATCTGGATCGCTTGCTAAATTGGGTGCAAGCGAACAAGATGTGTTTTAATATGGCTAATTGTATATGTACGCATCTGGGAAAGAAGAATGTAGCCCATACTTATACGAGGACTCTATCCTAGAGAGGTTATTTTATCTCAGTGTTTGGCACTGATGCGATCAGGACAATACTGTGTCTAGTTCTGATGTCCACAATTCAAGAAGGTTGTAGATTAATCATTCTCATAGCTCTTCTCCAATTTAAGGAGTAGAGAACATGCATGTAGTGATTGACTCAAAGAGCTGAATCTATTTAGCTTAACAAAAAAATGTTAAGGGGTGACATGATCAGTATAAAGTCCCCATATAGGTGACAAATATTTGATAATGGGCTCTTTAGTCTCAGGGCATGTGTTCTCTAGCAACGTTAAAGCGCTGCCATGGCAGTGCTTTAACGTGGCTGTATACTGTAAAGTGCCCATGTAGACAAGCACTAACAGACACAGGTATAATGATCCAATGCATGGAAGCTAAAGCTAGACAAATTCACACTGGAAATAAGGCATCCCTTTTCACAGTAAGGGTAATTAATCATTGGAACAATTTACCAAGAGTCATGGTGGATTTTCCATCACCTGCAATTTTTAAACAAAGATTTCTTTTTTTGTTAGATATGCTGTAGTTCAAAAGGAATTATTTCAGGGCAATTCTATGGCCTGTGATACGCAGGAGGTCAGATTAGATCTCTCCTGAAGTTACTGGCAGCCAATCCATTAAGGGTTTTTTGGTTGGGAATGACACTCTTTCCGATGAAAGTCTCTATCTGTTATCTATCTCCTGTGTCTATCCTGGCCTCTCAATAGGGGAGCGGAACCAGAAGGAACTCCACAGGAGAGTACCCTCCACCACTAGCCAATCACAACTTTTGGGGTGGGCCTTTGCCTCTTCACATTGAATTACACTTTGAGATCTCAGTATGTAGTAATGCCTAATTTATAAACTTGAGCGTGACCCCATCTGTCTCTTACATACTTAGTTTGAGGACTTCTGGCCTACAATATTGCAAAGCATATGCTACCTTAGCTCAACCATTGTTTTTAGACCATAAATACTGTAATGCTTTTAACCATAAGTACTATAGTACCAAAAGGTCAGATGGGGGAAGTTCAGAACAGAGGCCTGAGCCTACAGTTTTTCCACTGATGGAACTCCCACTGAGTTGAAATTATTTCCTACTTATGCACACACAATAACTTATATTGACTTAAGTGTAGTAAGACTGGACTTAAAAGAGGATATTTTATTAAATCGTAATCTTTGAGGACCTTTGAATGTCATAAGGAGCGATTGATATTTTTTTCTCGGCTCTGATGTGTAGTTGATGGACCATCATCAGCAAAGAGTAACTTCTGAAACAAAGTGAACAAACAGTAGCAAGTTTGGTACATTTGGTTGGCCAAGGTGCTCAAACTTTATGGTGATGGGTGACAGAGAAGCTTATATCAGGAGTAGTGTTCATTTTGTGGATAATTTTTAATTATGGGCTGTGCTATAAACTTACAGATATAGTTACAAGACAAACTTAGTGCCTGAATTAGGGTTGCTTCCCTGGTTGCCCAATACATATGCTATAAGACTTGAAAACAAAATGTCAGAAAACTAAAAATGCAAAATGAAGGTTGACCTTCTTGAACAAAGCAGGTACAGACTACTTTGACTGTACTTGGGTAATGTTCTTTGCATAGAGAGTACAGTAAACTTGCACCACAGAACA